GGAATTCTCTCTCTCACACTTGGAATTACAGACTCTCAGACTTGGCTCCGGGTGGGAATCTAGGAAGTTTCTGAAATGCTGTGTGTACCAACCCTCCGAAATCCAGAAATCCAGTTCATTGGTCTAGTGTGAGGCCTTGGCCTGGGGACTTTTCAAAGCTCCCCGAGGCGGTGCTGCTGTGCTCCCTAAGGCAGAAGTCGCTAGACGCAGCAGTAACCAGCTCTGAGACGCTGGGATTTATAGGGGCTGGGGAAGCTACTCCGAGAGGCGCAGAGGCTATTTGTGGTAGGTCTCTGCACTTCTCACATCGTGAAGGCCCAGCCGTCATTTCAGGTAGGTTTGCACATTAGCTCGGTGTCAGTCGGAATCGTTTTCCTCCATCCCTGCTGTTCATTCACCTTGACCTTAGGCTTTAGAGGATTTTTGTTTTTGCCAAGTTATTCACTTATTCCATAAGCAGGTTAGAGAGACAGAGAGAAAGGGAGCGGGACAGAAAGCCAGGCACCCCTGGAAGGGTCTTCACACTGACCCAGCAAGCTGGTGACAGGCACGTGCATGGGAGGGCCTGGGATTCAAACCTGGCTCCTTTCCCATGTGGGTCCAGTGCATCACCACCTGGCTCTTTAGGGGTTTTGATCAGAATAAATGGGCCCTTGGATTAAATGTGCTTTGGCTCAGTATGTACCTACACAAACATTTTTCTCATGAAGAGGTTCCTGACTCTCATAGAAACGGTGGCCATTTTAAGTCAGTTTAAGATGCCTAAAAACACACTTCCAGCTTTGGTTTCGATTTATCGCGTCTTTTTTTTTTTTTTTTTTTTTGAGAGGTTTTTGCTATAGGGCGTGCATGCTCACCATAAAGAGATAGAGAGACATAAAGTGTGAAATCACCCTCCGGGGGATGGCCACGCCACAGTCCCTTCTCCTCCATTATCTCTCAGGATCTCAGGCACACACGCACACGTGCCAGGCGTGTTTAAGCCTCCAGGTCCAGGACTTGAACTGCGGTTGACTACATGGGAGTCCAGCGACATAGCCATTACACTAACTGCTAGTCCCTCTTTGAGCTTTTTTAAGTTATCTATAAACTGCTTATCGATGAGTGATAAAAATGCTAGTGGGCAGAAACTTGTGTACTAAGAGAAAGTTAAGCACATCTGTGATGTCCCTTGTGATCTTATGAGGAAGGTGTAACTGTGGGGTAACAGTGACATGTGAGAACTCGCTGTTCTTGCTATTTAAGAGTGGCTGGAGGACTTGGCTCTTTGAGCTTGTTTTAACTCTGGGTCTCTTAAGATTGTGGCAGAGAGAACAAAATTCTTTAACTGAGAATTACACTGATTCCCAGATATTTGACGTATCTTCTTTCTTGAAGGGCCCGTTTTGTGTGTGTGTCTCTGTGTGTGACTTTGAGAAATATTTTAGGCCCATATAAAGATAATGTATTTATCTTTCTCCTTCTTTGTTTATGCAAACACAAATATCTACATATTATATCATATTATATGTAGTATTCTTTTTTTCTTTCTTTTTCTTTTTTTTTTTTTGGAGAGGTTTTCGCTATACGGCGCATGCGCTCGCCAGACAGACAGAGAGAGACATAGAGACAGAAAACGAGAAATCACCCCCCAAGGGGGATGGTCACGCCACAATCCCTTCTTCTCCATTCTCCTCTCGGGATCTTGGGCACGCACGCACACGCGCCCGGCGTGAGTTTTAAGCCACAGGGTCCGGGACACGAACCGCAGTCAACTACGTGGGAGTCCAGCGACATAGCCATTACACTAACTGCTGGTTCTCTCTTTTTTTCTACTTAAGCATATATTTGGAAATTGTTCCAGGAAGGCCCCTGTGTTTATCAGTTAAATGGTATTTCATGGTGGAGCTAGGTTACAGTTCCCATTCTTTGGTTTCAAGGGTTTAGTTTGTAACCCTACCATCTGGAACAGAGT